GGGGGGGGGGGGGGGTGGAGGGGTGGAGTGGGTTGGGCAGCGACGGAGGAGGCCCAGAATGCTCAAGATGCGGCAATCCACCATACGTGGTGAAACGTGGGGGCGGGCGAGCAACGTGGCATTGTCGTGTGTTTGAGCGCATCGCACACGGTCGAACAAAGAGGGTAGAAGCTACGTACGCACCACGACAATGTTGGTCTCAGGCCTATCCCTCAGCCAGGAAAAGAGCTCTCTCCCACGATGGGCAATCGAGTCGTATGTCTCTCTCTCATCACCCTGGGAATCGAAGAAGGCGTCGTCATCGTCCGTGATTGCATCGAAGGAAATGTTCGGGTACTCCACCTTGAGCTCGCTCACGCATCTGCGAAGTGCGGCGTGTATTATTGGCGCCACGAGCAGGGGAGGGGTGTACAGGGATTGGATTGAAAGCGTAAGCAGAGACAGGGACAGGAGGGGTTACATAGTCACTGCTGTGTGCTGAGGCGCAAAATATTTGACAAAACTCTTTCGTAGAACAGTACGTTTTCAGAGACGCAATCATTATGATGCGATACTCTCCCAACAGCGACTTCACCAAACACAAATTATAATTTTCAGTTTGGTACAACAGCACCTGCATGAACCGCGGCGATGCGCATGTGTCGGGACGAAAGCGTGTCGCGTTGGCCTCTACTGCGAACAGAAGACAGCTTGCGACCCATCTGCCTCGCACAATCATGCCCGGTCGTACATTGGCCGCACCCGTAATGTTCGGGACCCTCCCTCCCCCCTGCTGGGAGCCGTCAGGAAAGGATGCATCGTGGTCGTAGGGTCTTACAACAGGCACGGCGAATTCGTTTCTTCCAGATGAAGAACCGTCGCCCCAAGCCCAGATGCGACAATTTCCGCTGGCTTCTCCCTCCCATACCCTCGATTGTCCCATGTGTCGTGCACAGAAAAGTTCCAAGCTTGGGTTGCTGAAGCTGACTCCGTCCACGCACGCTGTCGTCATACCTACTACTTCGTTTTTTACCAGTTTGTCGTGTTATTTTCACTAGCAACACAGAAACCTGTTTGCCCTTTCTCCCGCGTCCAAACACAGGAATGACAGCGATGACACCAAAAAGCACAAAATTCAAAACGGAAAATCCATCTCTCAAAACAGGGTATAGCGCCACGTAATCCACGAACACACGCGAAGACTCTATCGAACACACGCATTCTTCCAGGTCTGGCGCAAAATGATTTGTGTAGCCCACCCCTCCCTTCTGTCACCCCTCCAATGTGCAAATCCTCGTTGGGATAGGCGAGGGAGTTTGAGGGTACAAGAGGCACGTTTGAATTCCATGCACTACGCGTTTGTTGTACCTTCGGCGGTCACAAGGTTGCACCCCAGCTCTCTCCCGCACGCACTCCAGCGCCACCCATGGCACTCCCTCTACCTGAAAAACGACAGTTGCGGTGAATCCAATTGGCGACACACCCAGGGCAAGAGAGGGGTCAGGGAGGGGGGTTGGTGGTGGAGACAATATGGCACGCCAACACTTTGCGGCATCTAATCAAGGCTAGGCGCGGGACACGGTTTTGGCCAATGAAAGGGGTAAGAATCTTCAACAGCGGCAAGAGTTTACTCCGCTTAGACGGTCTAACTAGTCAAGAGACAACCCTGGCATTTCTCTGCCCAAGGGGTGGGTCAGATCTACGAAGCGCGATCAATGACGAAAATATCCCATACAACCACAACAAAAGACTTAGCTCGAGATATTCTACACGGCCGGTGTCCGCCAGCTGGTTGATAGCCCCACCCCCCACAGCGCTGGTTCGGCGAGAACCCGGCACATCGGTCCGTCCCGGCTTGGTAGGGATGCGAAGTCAACTTTCTAACGACTACGGCATGCACGACTATGAGTACACCCCCACACAGCGCAGGTATAATACCTGATCTATGGCCAACATGGCGGTCTGCATGGCTCTGGTAAGCGGAGAAACAACGACCAGCTCCGCCTCCTTTTCGATGCCGTGATTCGCCGTCTTCAAAGTCGCACACTGCTCCTTGCCGAGATCAGTCAGCCTGGCGTCGAGATGCTCCTGTGCGCGCGTGATCAATCACGGTGGGTGTCGAAATGAGGAAGGCGGGCAGCTGCCACAGGGGAGAAGCTTTCGAAAGAAGTCATGACAAAAGCAGGGGGGGCATCGCGCCTTGGGGGACGATGACCATGCCCATGTTAGAGAGCGAAAAAATCTCACTCAAATCCGAATTTCTCTGGGTGCTAGAGATAAGTGAGCGCATGTAGCGCTTTTCATTCTCTGCGGAACACAAGCAAGTATCGGCCCCTGTTCGCTCCAGTTGCACCGCCGTTGCTGTCATATTATGCAGGTACACCGATTCGCCGCACCAGACTAACTCAGAGCCATGCAGCCTGCACACCCAAGCGCGCATTTGTCACCCAAGCGAGTGTTTGTTTTCCCCACAGCGGAAGCGCTGACTCACAATCTTGAAGAAGGCTGCTCGACCCTCCTTGAGCGCCGCCTCGTTGTGCGTTCCTGTCGAAAACACACACGTGGAGTCCGAAGAGCCGTGGTTGGCGAAGCAAGGTGTCTTTCGTGAGGTAAAATTGCATAATTTTATTCGAATATGATGGTCGGCGGCACGTGTGTGTGGTATCTGCGGTTGTTCGTCATTCCCTTCGTTCTGCACGTCACTCTTTTTACCGTTATTTGAAAATTTTGAACTCATTAGCCGGGGTTACACAGGAGACGCACACAGCGCAGGTGTTCTTCACACAACTTGCTCCAGTCAATTGCTGTTCTTACAGAGTAGATGTTCTTAAAGACAGTGGACATCCTCTGCCAAAACAACGGTGTGCACACCCAATGATCGGACGTTTGCGCGAAGTTTCCGATATGTCTTTGCGGTTACAGAGGGCCATTTCCCCAACGGCTCAGTCGAGGACGATTTGCCCCTGTCACGTACACACGTTCACCGTTCCACATTGTTTCAAATAATGAGCATCGGTCACGCTATAGAATGTGTAAGAACTTGAGTTAAGTTTAATGAAAAAATATTCTTAAGACCCGACCATGTATATTTTCTTTAGGATTCCTCACACGAGGACACGAGCCGCGAGGGTTCCCTACGAAGGAGATTCTCTGGCGGCAGTCGACCCACTAAAAAAATACGTCGTCAGTCTTGTTGGGAGGAAAAAACTACAGTAGGACGCGATCGTGTGCTTGTTGTGGGTGTGTGGAAGGCAGTAGCATTCGTCCGAGCGGCACGGAAGAGCAAGGGTGGTAGGGGTTCACATCTACTATTACACCATCAACTGCTGTAGTCGACCAGTAGTTAGTCTAGTTTATTTTTATTCCGGGTGGGCATAGTTTGTACCCATCATGGGTGTTGCTGGCATGATGGACAAACTGGTTCACAACAGCAGTTGTACTGTGTTCCCAGTAAAAAAAGAAGCGCTAGTTTTCCTTGCGATCGATCCCTCGTGAGATATCCTTGTCGTTCTTGGACTCACTGCCCCATCAACTCAGCGGGAGACGCGCGGCAATTTGTGCGGTGACACAAGATACCACACCCCCTGGACCAATTTTCCAATTTTCAAAGCCCGATTACTCCACGACGAGGAGGATGCACAGGTGAAACGGCACGTTTTCGGAAATCTCTCGATGAGACAGCTTCAACGCCGCCATGTTTGACGCCGCCAGTCTTTCTGCTGCAATGGAGTAATCGAGCTTTGCTCCGTCCAGAGGGTGTGACATACTTCAAGTATAACATATCGTGTCACGCTGCTGCTGAAGAGACACAGCAGTATTTCTTGTTCCATTTGTCCTGACCTTCGGCATGGCGAAGGAAGTGCACCGTCTTTGCAGTGGAGCGCTGTACTACGCCGACGACCTTGTGTCCATTGTCGGTCTTCGTCCCCCCCACCATCGTCGATCTACGTTGTACAATCGGAGAGGTGCGGTCATGCGTGCGGGACAATTCCACATAAAAAAAAAGTACATGTAGGTTGCACCGCATTTTCAAGTTCACAGCAGCGCACTGCTGTACCAGCACCGTCTACCAAACATAGCTGTACCATGCATCGATGGGTATCGGCCCTCCCGAGCATATATGCAAGGGTTATCCTCGCTATGTCCCGGCACCCTCGCTTGGACGCAGTATCGTTTCACTCTGTACCCAGCAAGCGAGGCAAAGCGTTCGTATCAAGCACCTTGGCCGTCGATCGGTCTATGCGGCCCAGGTTGAGCGGCAGCTCTGTGCGCTTCGTGGGCATGAGATCGGGCTGTAACCTGGAGATTTACCGTTGTAAGGACCGCCGACAGCATCAATGGCGGCCTTCCGATGCGTTTTGCCGAGTAGCTCTGTCTGCAGCGGGCAATCGTCCGCGGTGCGAACAGCAGCTTCCGCGAGCTTTTCTCGCGGGAGGGTCTTCCGCCGACGACATGCTCTCCCTGTTTGGATCTAGACGACGAAGCCTCGACTGCATCATCCACAGTAGCAACAGCATGGGTGGCGATATTGACAGTAAGGGGAACAACATCAATGGGAGAAACGAGAGCACTCACGAGATCACCCCGTCAGAGAATGCCCCCACCGCCGCGTGGCCGCCTGCTCTTTCGGCGCTGGCCATCAAGAACGGCGGCGGCGCCGGTGGAAACGGCGCCAGCCTCTCCGAGATTGTCAGCCAGGCGGCCCAATGGTTGGAAGTCTACGGCGTGGTCGATCCCGAACCCTCCGCTTCCGAGCTCCTGGCAAAAGCGGCGGGATTCCGTTCGCCCCAGGAAATGCAATCTAAACAGCAGCAGCAAGGGGTAGACAAGGCGGTGCGACTTTCAACGACGGCGTGGACGGAGTTTCGAAGGCTGTGCGTTCTTCGGGCTGTCCAACACGTGCCCGTGCAGTACTTGGTCGGCGAGTGGGACTTCTACGGGCTTTCGCTGGAGATGGCACCGCCCACCCTCATACCGCGCCCCGAGACGGAGGAGCTCGTGGAGATGATTCTCAAGTGGCTTCGCCCGGACGTGATGAACGCAATCGCCGTCGACCGCGCCGCTGCTGGTGCTGGTGCTGGTGCTGCTGCTGCTGCCGCCGCCGGCGGTGACGGCGCCGACAGCAGTAGTGGCGACGAAAGCGGTATGCGTTTCCTCGATGTGGGCTCAGGGACGGGGGCGCTCGGGCTGGCGCTGCTCGGCGAGCTGCCCTTGGGGGCGCGGTGCGTGGCTGTCGACACGCAGGAGAGCGCCGTGCGGCTGTCGCGAAGAAACGCCGCACGCACCGGGCTTCAGGCCAGGTATTCCTGCTTCCACGCCGCCGTCGCCGAGCTCGCTCCCAGGGAAAACGGGAGCGCGACCACACCTGCAATCGATCGGCCGCAGAGTAGCGGCGTGGAGAAGGGTGGGAGAGGGGACCTTGACTTCGACGGTAGCTTCGATTTTGTCGTGAGCAATCCGCCGTACATCCCGACGAGAGATATGGGGAGCTTACCCCGGGACGTAGCGGACCACGAGGACAGCGTTGCCCTGGACGGAGGTGAGGATGGTCTTGACGTCGTTAGGGACATCGTCCGATTGTGTCCACGACTGCTTAGGAAGGGGGGCCCGCGGCAGCTGTGGATGGAGGTGGACACGTCTCATCCCGAGGCTATGCAGCGGTGGTTGGGGCTGGAGGTGGGGTTGGACGAGGGTGCCGGGGGGAGCCAGGAGTGCCGGGCGCAAGGAGTGGCGAAGTTCGAGTGGATGCGAGACATGTCGCAGCGCCCTCGGTTTGTTCGGTTAACCTTCGCCGAGGAAGACAAAAGGGAGACCTAGCGAGTGTGCTGTACAGGGAAGCCTGGTCCTTCTCAAAGGACGCTTCTTCAGGTGCTCACAATTAGAGCTTGTGCGTTTCAAAGGGCGTAGGTTCTTTCACGGTAGAGGGGCCCGATCGTTGTCGCGGTGCTGTTTGGGACCGTTGCACTGCTGTTGTACCGCTTGAGTACGTAGTTTTCAGCTTTTGTAGCGGTGATTTTTTTGAGGAATTAGGGAGTATCCAAGGGAATTAGGTCTTGTGTGTTCGTCGTTATCTGCCACGAGAAAATGTTCGCCGCGTGCATCAAACATCCAGTAACGAGCGAAACATGCCGGATAATGCTCCACTGAATATGCCACGTTTGCATCCTCCGGGGGTGAATGGTGTTCCACCAATTACTGATATTCAAGCCTTGTACAATTAAGGGCGAAACCATCCGCTGGCTCAAGCGCGTACAACTTTGCATGAGCTGTAGGGCGCCGTTGAAGCACAGCAGCGCTTGCCTATTATTTTTTCTTAGAATCTGAAGAGGGGAAACGGAAACCTGATCCACCAAGTCTAACGTGGCCTCCATTCTCACAACAGTGCAACACGTTCACCGTGCGATACGTGCCTCTTTGTTCTGTTGGCTCCGTTACTCCCATGCCCTGGTGCGTAGTGCCTGGTGCTGGTACGTTACCCTTTGATTTTTTTAGGCGGGCGTGGGAAGTGTCCTTTTTTTTTTCTTATATTTTTTTCCATCGTTTTCCGAGGGCTCTTTTCTCGACCGGTCGGTGCGGTAGCTGTTCTTTTCTTTCTATCATTTTTTTTTCTTTTTCCGAGTGGTTCGTACCCTGTTTTTGTTTTGTTTTCCCGCAGGGTCGTATGTGCCGGGTTTTTGCGACCACGGGCTCCCAATTTTTTTGGACTATAGACCTAATGTGAGAAACAACAACAAGACAAACATGGACGGCAACAGCTGCGGCAGGTTTTGGCTCTTCGTGACGTAGGTGGCTCAAACGCATCACTTTCAAACTTCCTGATTTTTCCGTTGTGTTTGCTGGAATCTGGAGCAGGCCGCCGACTTTGGTGTATTTGTAATCCGTTTTTTTTTTCGGGAAGCCTCGGAAAGGGGAATCGGGGCACACTGCTGTAGAAAGGCGGATTTTGCTGCTGGGTTTGACTTTGAGCGGGCAGCACGCAGACAACTGAAGGGTTGCGATGATGAAGCGCGGCAAGGGATCGGATGGCAGCTGCTGTAATTTCATCCCAAGGGTTTTGCCATCGAAAGCAGCCTGGATATCCTGGGGCGTTTGCTTCTGTGTTGCCTGGCATACACAAACACAACGAAGGAAAAAGAGCGCGCTCGCCGCAGCAGCCTTTCCAAGTGATACACCACTGAATCAAAAGCAAGATTACAAGCGTTTTGTACATGTTGTAGAAGATCAAAGGGTTCTATGCATACGTTTGCGACCCGTTGACTTCACAACTTTCCCTCCCAATTGATATTCGACAAGGTACTTGCGCTGATGCCACACATTTACAAGGGAATTTACAGTGGTTCGACATTTCTATTTTTCCGCCCGACAAGACGCGCAGCGCCATGACTCGACACTCGTCCCATCAACGACTTACAAGGTACGCAAGCGAACTACGATAATTTTCCACGATTTCCTGTTTTCACAAATCCTCCCCAAAGAATGCATACAATACACGACACCCTTTCAAATCCTCTCCAAGGTAGGCGTACAAATACATGACACATTTTACCCCTACACCGCCACCATTGTTCATGCACAACATCAGGGCAACTTTTGCACCGGTCACAACTACCGGCGTCATCGTGGCGGCTCATTTCACGAGGACTCAAAAGCACCGAACAACCCAGAACACACTTGCCAGACAACCAGACTCTTCCAAAGGACAAACGCAGAGGCCCCGGCCGGTGCCTCTTTCCGTCCACGACAAAATACATCCGACGAGGGAAGGTTCGAGAATCAGCGAAATGGATCCGAAAACAACGGAATCAAGGTCCGCCGTACAGCAGCGGTTGGCCTACCCCTTACAAGCACATGACAATCTCACGAAAAAGCGCCTCTTCGCGCTCAGCCAGGCCCACCAACCCTTCCAAAGCCCCCTGCAGCAACCGCTCGTCGTCTACTCCACCCCCGGCCGTCTCCGCGGCGGGTCCGGGTGGTTGTACAGAAGAAACGGAGACCCTCGCGTCGTCCCGCACGCTGCCCTTGCGCTTAACGCGAGCGGCAGGGCTGAAACCGTAGCCGCCGCCGCCGTCGTTGGGGACCGCTGCACACGGCGTCGGCGCAGCAGTTGCCGCTACTCCCTCGAGCTGGCGCTGCCTCTCAAGGTAGACCTTGACCAGAATGGCGCCCCTTCTCCTGCGCCAGGCCGCCTCGCACCTCAGGGCGCGACGAATGGCGTTGCGCTGGCTTACGCCCGTGTTCCTGTCTCTAGTTTCCTCTAAACGTGCCATGGCATAACCAACGCACACGAACGGTGGAGCAAGAGACAGAAAAAATTGCGAGCGGCCGGAGGGGGAGCGACACGAAAGTTGAGATTTAGCCCCGGTTGGGGTTCTTTGAAGCGCACCAGCAGCGCCAAGAGTTAGGCGTGTACGCGCATGAGGAGGCTTTGGTCTCACGCAGCGCCGTTGACCCTTGCCTGTAAGAACACCAACAACCGAACCGAAAACGGTGCAGCGTCGTAAGACGTTCGTGGTGCAAGTGGTCCTAGACAACTTGTCTGCGCAACGGCGCAACAAGCGTCAAGTTCGCGAGAATGTCATCAAGATCCGGGGGCACGGCTCCAAGACAAAGCAAGCACGGCTCTCGGGGTGCGAAACGAAACGATCCGCACCCCTTTCTGCGCGCTACTATTCCGGGGCCGCGTTGGACGAAGGCGCAGAACAGATGGGTGGTGCTTGAGTGGCTAAGGCCGGTGATTTCTCACCGTCATCATCACCAAACACTACCATCTGCTCTTCCTCCTCGTCCAGGCTCAGGTCCGCCCCGTGACCGCTCCCGCCGCTGCCGGCGGGGCCCGTCGAAGCCACGGCGAGATTTTTCAGACCAACCACCTCGGCCGGCGTCTTACCGTAGCCGTTCTCCTCCTCATCCTCCTCCTCTTTTGGAGGATAATCTTCTGGTGTGACGCCGAACATCGGTTTGGTGTCGTTGTTGCCGGGACGATGAACAGCGCTGCCCTCCGCACGCGCGGTCAACGACGACGGCCTTTCCGCCGGTCCAAGCGAGGCGTTCCATCGAAGCAGCTCCACGACACACTCCACGCTGGTGTACCGGCACGCAAGGTGGAGAGGAGTCCACCCCCCGCTGCGAGTGGGGGCGTCCCGTTCGGCCCCAGCCCGCAGCAGCAGGCGGAGCACGTCGACGTGGTCACCCTGGACCGCTGAAGTGCAGAGTTCGAAACCGGTCAACCAAACAAGTGCAAATGCAAACTGTCGATAACTGTGCATGGGGGTCTCTGCATGTACAGCGCCGGCTTGCTCGTGCGAAAAAAACCTCGTCAGAATTTGGGACTCATCATCGCCCCCCTTTTTTTTCTCCGTCTTGTACGGTTGTCGACCATGTGTTTCACATGCATTTTGTTTTTTCGTAGCATCGTAACGGCCAGGCGAGAGGCGCGGCATGGCACGAGGACGAATCTAACCGCGCCCATCCGGGCACAATTTTCTCAGACTTTGCACACGTTGGTAGGAAAGCAGACGCATCAGGTGGGGAAAGGATTCTCGTCGAGGACAAACTGAAGTATATTCCATGTGGTTAACAACTACTGCACCAAGGTAAGAACATTTAAGAGTTTTTAAAAACGAAGAGAATTGGCGAAAATAATATTGCGCAAAACATTACTTCAGAGCTTCACTCCTTGAGCTGGGCATAAGCTTAACCGGGAGGGCAGGCAGCAAAGGAATCTACGTCTGGGCAACAGAAGCAATCGTTCTTGGTGCAGCCACAACGCCACAGGAGAAACAAGCAAGAGATTCTGTCTAACCCGGCGTCGTGCAAAAAACAAGAGCCTATGTAGCGACGCACGCTCCTTTGATTTTTTCCACGACGTCAATTTCAGGATCTCTTGTTGCGTATTTCTCCCCTCGCAGTTTCGTTTCATCAAAACCGTTTCGATTTGAATCTTGACCAGGGGAGTATCGCGGAAGAGATTAAAAAAGAACGGCGTCGTCAAGAAAAAGAGCCTACATACTGATTGCCGGCCTGTCAAACGGCAGCGGTTGCACATTCCCAGAAAGCAGAACCCGTGAAAGTGCTCAAAATGACACCCGCTCTTGCCGGCAGTCCGGCATGTAGACTGTCGACAAGAGCGGGGTTGATATCACGCACCCCGGTTTTACCCGTTTGATGGGTAGCTCGTGACTGCGTAGGCGCTGTGCTTCTTGATGCCGATTTCGGAATCCCTTGTGCGCTGCTCCGCTGGCGATTGTGTTGCATCAAAATCTAGTTGAATCTCTTGCCCACAAAAAAAGACTCCTTTGCTTCCCTCCCGGTTAAGCAACAATCCCAGACCAAAGAGTGACATTTTTTCTGAATGGGCTGCGTGGATTTCGCTGTCCTTCGGTACACTAGAATCAAGACATTGGGCTCTGGGAATTTTCAGCTCACTTTGGATACCCCTCAGAATATGAAGTTCGACCTTTGTCAACTGCATCAACCGAATTTGGAGCAGGGTCGAAAACACCTCTCAACCTACACAACTTGAATCACTGTTTGTTGTGTTTCACCAGCTTGTCTGACCACGAGCAGTAGACATCTTCGAAGAGCAAGACTTCATCTGGGACAACGACGTGTAAACTCTGCGCTTGCTCTTACCGTCGTGGATCGGGGCCCAGCCACCTCTGTCGCGCTCGTTGGGGTCTAGCCCGGCGCCGAGAAGGGCGGAAACTATCCCCGGCACGCCGTTCTTGGCAGCGCACGACAGGATGGGGGACGCAGCAGCAACGGTGGCAGGGGACGCGTGGGGGAGAAAGGATAGGTCGCCGGCGGTCGTGGGTCGGATGTGCACGCTCGCGCCGTAGCGCAGCAGCGCTTCGACCTTGGCCGTCGCGTTCCGCATGCTACGGTCGTCGGTCTCGAGGCGGTGGATCAGGGTGCAGTAGCTCCCGAGCGGGGTGCCACCTCCGTACCTGGACATGGCCACGAGGTTCGGGTTCGCCCCGCGGGAGAGGAGGAACTCGAGCGTCTCGGCGTCGCGGGCCACGTGCAGGGGGGTGTTCCCGATCTCGTCCCCGGCGTTGATGTCCGCCCCGGCCGCGAGGAGCGCCGCCATCGTTTCGACGTGTCCCGCCGCGCTCGCGAGATGGAGCGGGGTGTCGTCGCAGTCTCTCGCTCGCCGATGGACGCACGCCCCGGCTCCGATGAGGGCGCGCACCGCGCCCGTCGCCCCGCACGCCGAAGCCAGGTGCAGCGGGGTGTGCCCTCCCTCGACGCCGCCCAAGAAGTGAGGCACAACTCCTCCCCCGGTCCCGCCGGAGTGGTCGGGGGCAGCGTTGTTGTCGTGGACGGCGGCGTGGTCGCTCACTTTCCGACCCGAAGCGAGTCGGTCGGTTCGCTCCCCGGCGGACAGTAGGGCTTGGACGACCGCCGTGTGCCCGCCGACGCATGCCAGGTGCAGCGGTGTTAGGTCATCGTGCTCTTGTTCGGAGACGTCGTCGGAGTCGGACATGTCCCACTCTTCGGAGGAGGAGGAGGAGGAGGAGGAGGAGGAGGAGGAGGAACCCGAAACCGCCCGGTTGTTCTCGCTCCGTGGTCGACCGGGGTCGATGGAGTCTCGACCACCGGGCCGCGCACCGCCATCAAGGAGAGCCAGCACCGCCTCCAGATGTCCCTGATTAGAAATCAACCCGCGGGTGGTGTTGGATGTCCGATAGTAAAGGGAACAAGCACTCCTGAGGATGCCTGCACGTACGTGTGGCAAGACTTTGGAAAGCGTAAACGAGTTTCTCAACACATTAACAACAAACCTGTTGCGCGGCAAGATGAAGAGCGGTTGCCCCTTCGTCGCAGTTCGGGCACTCGACACGGGAGTTGGGGTCCATGCCGCCGCCTCGGAGCAACATGGTGATGGTCCCGGCATCGTTGCGGTGGGCGGCCTTGTGCAACTCCGTCGGCAATGCAAGGATGGCGGCGGCGGCGTGGGAATGGCCTAACCCCCCAGATTGCACCATCTGTGGCAGATATGTTGTATCTGGGCAGATGGATATTTGTGCCTTGTAGGGGCTGGGGCTTCAGAGGTTTCTAGGCGTGGCCTAGAAGGCGCCCTAGAAAACACCGTGCTCTTCGACTAGTCTGGCCGTCTGCGCAAGAGTGCGGAGGGGGTGGGCGAAGCAAAGCAATCCGCACGACGAACCGAAACCAAGCAGCATCCAAGAGTTTACATAAGGTACGCTGCATTGTGGTGATCTCGAACTTGAACAAATGGACAAGTAGAGAAAGCTCCACGGCAACAACTGGATGTTATCCACGATTCGTTCCATGCCGGTCACATTTCGTGTACACCAACCTACTCAGCGCGCGCGAGCTATTGCGGTTTGCGATCGATGTGGGGGATGGTTTTTCAGGCCCTTTCCATCAGAAAAGAGCTTATCATAGGGGTAGTACGTGCCACAAGTACGTTGATTTTGGCGCAAGGGAGCGTTCGCTGCTGCACATCTTTTCCAAAGGGTACATGAAAACACAGACGGACTACAAAACTAGTAGCCTCAAGACTCAAACTGTGGAATCAAGGGCATCTATATCTATGGATGAGTCTAGGACATCAGCCATGGATCATGATATTAACCGTGACTTACCTTTGGTTCTATGCATTGTACACTCCTTCGAGCAATCCTACAGCAGCGACATCTGATGTCTCGTTTGAGTTTCTTTTCCAGACCAACCCGCTCTCGGCAGAACTCGCTCTCGGAAGGAATTGTATGCGCCACAACACTAGGCAAGTGTAGCAGGTGTCTGACCTATGTCTCACTTGACGAAACTTTCGGTCAATCGCAACCATTCCGGGCAGGTGGGAGGGAACTATTACTGCCGTAACGCTTGGATAGTACAGCAGTATCACCGCCGCGACGTGTAAAGAGGGCACGGTACCCATGTTCGTGCGTACAACACCAGTTTGCATACATCAACCGGCACTTTGAAGAAGAGAGCGAGAGAGCCAGCACATCGGAAATCTCTGCATGCCTCTGTTGGCAAGTTCGTGCGATAGACAGCCACGAAGGAGGTCATGGTGGCGCGTTCTTAGAGCGGCTGCCTTGATGGTGCGGCAGCCCCCAACGTCTGCTCATGGGGTTTGGGTCGTGCGAAATCAAATCGACGAAGCAGTGCAAAAGGTTGAAACCTTCAACTTGCGATCACAGGGAGAACCAGTTTGACAACTTACAAATAGCAGTAGTGAGCTGTGACGAGATACCATGCCCATGAACAGAGGGGACGAAATACATGCTGTCAAGACGACGATGTCACATTCTTTCTTTCCTCTACAGCTGGCATACCTGTGGAAGCGCACCGTTCTTGCCGTTGTGTCTCCGCGCGCTGGAATGTTATGTGAGCAGCTGCAGCTGGGAGCTGAGAGAAAGAACACGAGGGGACTTCGCAATTGGGCGATACCCCCCACTAAAATTGAGAGTTTTGCATTCCAGTGCGCCCCTCGTCCAATCTATCCACGCCATCTGCATCCAACTTGTGCTGGGCACAATAAGACATGGCCGAGAGTGGCGAGGCACTCCTCTCGTCTCCCTTGCCTTCTCTAGGCAGCATCAGTAGATTCGCCAATCGGCTGTGGGACATCCACTGTCTGCCACCCGTTCCGTTCACGCGTGCAAATTGGTACTGATAAAATCGATCGGCCGCGCCGGCGGCAGATTTTCAAACCATGGCGTGCGAGAATCCTGAGCACGCGGCTCTCGAGAGCGAGCTGAACGATGCTCTGGAAGAAGCCCTGCAGATGGAGGAGCGCCTCGCCGCGTACGAGGCGGCCGGGGCAGGGGCTGAAATCGACGGCGGGGGTGCTGCTGCGGCGAAGGCCTTGGAGGAGATCGCAGCGCTGACGGAGCAGGCGGGTACTCTGGAGAAGGAGCGCGATGCCTACGAGCAGGACTATTTGAATCAGAAGGATAGAGTCGACAACCTGGAGACGCAGCTCGAGGACAAGGATCGGAAGGCCAAGGAGCTGGTGAGTGGGTGTGGTTGTGGTTTTCGCCTTGGTGGTGGTTGCTCTCGATGACGCCGGTGTTGGTTCCGATCTGAGTGTAAGGCATATCCTTTGCATTTTGGATATATGCTATTTCCCCCGCAAAGTATCGGGAACGTCCGTTCACGTCATATAATAGACTAGACTAGGCTGAGGTCAACCGAGCTCTAGTGAACATTGCTCTGCAGCCACCTTGCCTGCTACTAGGAATCTGACTGGCTGTCTCTATCAAGCAACATAACTCGAAATTCAAATTCCCCCCCGGATGATAACCATCATTGTACATGTCCGCCGTTCGGCACACATTGTCGATGCACGTTGGTGCTAAGGACACATTGCCGCCGCTGTGCATGTTTCTGGATTTCTTCACGTTTCGCGGAAACGCCTATATATATATAACTTATTAGTAAAGTCTCCAGCACTACCTCAGCTTTAAAAGTGACATCGCAATTTGCTTCCACAGCCACATTCGACAGCCCGATGTGTGTACCCACATATCTTGAGGCCGCGCTTCGGCTCTTCAAATCCAAGCAAGGGAGCGCGTAGACATGTACAGCTCTACCGAAGACATGAAATGGATGTTGATGGGGGACCTGATTCGACTGCAGTGCCCCGCTACGTTCAACGCGCCTCCCGCTCTCTTGGCGCTGAACACTCTGCGTTGCTTGTTCCGCCCATCCCCGCTCCTGTTTCCACGAAGAACCCATGAGCTCCACGCCACCTGCTCCTGCACGCCCCAAGTTCATGACGCCCCTCAATCCTCGCCGCCCCCCTTCCCTCTGCCCGCCTGTTTTTTTTTACGGTGGCTTCGCCCCCTCGATCCCGCATGTCGCCGGCTTGGCACCGAAATAGGACAAGCTGCGGCGGAAGCTCGAGGAAGACTTGGAGAACACGCGGAAGCTTCTCCAGACCGAGAAGAGAAAGGCCGCGGACGCTCAGAAGCGGGCCGGCGGCGCGGACAAGACGAGGCGCACCGAGCAGAGAGACCAGATCAAGGTCCTGCAGGAGCTGCAAGACCTGAGGTGTGGCACGCACGGCTGCGGGGTGTATTACGAAACAGCACAAATGATGACAGGTAGAAGGGAGGTGGGCACCTTGAAGCTTTTTGTGGTTCCACCCTTATTATTGGGTGCTGCTGCTGTGGTCATCTACACTGCCGTCTTGTGCATACCACATGGAAAACGTATGAGAGGAGGGCCCAGCAGTTCACTCGTCCTTGATGTAGCTGCATGTGGCGTCTTCCAACCTTTCCAACCTATCCTTTTTACTACCGCCCGCAGGAATCCCCTCAGCTGAAAATATGCGTCACATGTCGCAGAGGGGCTGCAGGTTAACGGCAGGCACGCGTTTCTGGTGTCGGCACAGCTGCTCAAAAGTGGGCTGCCCGTTCTTTCCTACCCCCAGGTGTTCTCGTCTGTGCAAACCCTCAGATAGTCGAGAAACCTAACGGACACCGGTTATTCTTTGCTTGGCACAACGTAACAGGGAGCGAGCGGAGGACCTAGAGGCTCAGGTGAAGGAGAGGGACGTGGTGGTCGAGGAGCTGGTGCTGAGCAACCAGGCGCAGATGGAGAGAAACGAGACCCTGACGGTGCAGAACGAAGACCTCCGGGGGGAGTTCAACGAAGCGGTGCGCCGGCGCCGGAATTAGATGCTAGCGAGCGGGGCAGCAGCATTGCACACCACGCGGTGGCCGGTTGCGGTTGAAGTGGTGGCGCGTTTGTTCGTTCGACAGTCCTCCTTGGACGATGAGTTGCTTGCGTGTTACGGCGGCACTCTGTACCCGCGTACACGGCGCGGTTATTTTTGCTTGGCCTCAGAGGCTTTTGCAGACGTTGACGCCGAGGCTGTTTGGTGATGTTGTGGTGCTGGTTTGAGGACCGTTTCACGATGTCGTTTCACCGTCGGCTGTTCACGGTGTCGTTTTTCCGTCTGCATTTCACCTCGGCAGAGCCAACTCCTGGAGGAGAAGGTGCGGGAGCTGCTGGATTGCCACGACCAGCTGGAGGTGGCCAGGGAGGCGGAGGAGGAGTACGAGCGCCGCCTGGACGAGGAAGAGGCGAAGGGCAGGAGGAAAGTCCACGCGCTTGAGGTGAGCAGCAGCTGCAGCACCAGCACCTTAGGATGGGCCCCGCTTCGAAAGAAGCGGGGGGCGCAAACTTGGGAGAGCTCTTCAAATGTACTGTGTGAAGATTATTTGACCCTCGAGAGTAAGCTCAAAACAACGTACGTCACACGAGATAAGAAGAAAAAACTGTACCATGATTTGGGGGCGATATCGTGATGGTTGTGACTTTTTCGCCATGTTTTTGATTTTTTGGTGGCCCAATAGATGACCCCCAGATCAAATGATGAGTTGATGCTGTCCATTTTTGCACGTAGAAACACGTCGTGAGTTCAATTTTTTGCTTATTCGCACGTACAACCCCATCACCCGTCGTCGTTGTCCCTGACACAGACGACTGCCGCAGCTGCAGCCGGGGAAGGGAAACAAAATTAACGCTCATGGTGCAGACAGCCAATGTAAAATGCAGGAAAGATCACGCACAGCGTGCCCGAACTGCGGCAGACGCATCTTCCAAGAGAAGGAACTATTTACCAAAGTGGTGCCCAATTCTCATTAATCCGTGACACCCCACGATCGAATGATTTAAGCAAACAATACAATTTTCCCTCCCCCTATCTCGCCCCCCCCCCCCCCCCCCCCCCCCCCCCCCCCCCCCCCCCCCCCCCCCCCCCCCCCCCCCCCCCCCCCCCCCCCCCCCCCCCCCCCCCCCCCCCCCCNCCCCCCCCCGGTGTTTGCCATCGGGGTTGGGTTTTCGTCGCTTGACAACGACGTTGTAAATTCACTTCGTGACCTCGACAACCAGGTTACTGTTTTTTGTTTTTTACCTCCGTTTTTTTTTTGGCGGTAACCACGATGGTGGTCGAGTTGATCATGTTGTGCGGGGTGGAGAAGCCTCACTCCGCGCAAGGGGGATGATCGCACCACGTTGTGTTAAATTGGTCAAGCACCCTCGAGGCAGTTACACAGTGCTTACAACTGTCTCGGGAAGTGAAAGCACCAGAAAATAATTTAAGTCATACGCAGCTGTCATCCGTACGCAAGGAAGTAAGCACAAGATGCCGAACACCCTTAGCAGGATGCAGCGCACCCTTCATGCGACTCGCNTATCTCGCAACTTTTGAGCCACCTTTGGCGAAGTAGGAAGGAACGATTGACCATCGGTGATCGGTCCTGCAATCGGTCAATCGTTCCTGCGGGAACAACGCTCCGTCCTCTCGAGCATGCGTGGTCAATGGTCTAACAGCTAAACAAGTAATGCTAAACATGCATCCCCCAACCCCCCATCCCGCACCGGTTTCGGACATGGATTGAAGGATGAGTTGCGAGCCGAGAAGAGTGTTGTTGCTCAGCTCCGTGAGGAAGCGGCGAGGGCGAACGAGCGGGGTGGGGCGGCGGCACAGTGGCAGCGAGAGCAGGAGCAGCTCAGAGCGGAGGTATGACGAGATTCGAGCCACTCACTTCCATGTGTGTCCCTTTTTTGGGTAGTTGGCCTGAGACCGCGGCAGCGTCAGTTGGACCGGTAACAGTAGTAGAAGGTGCTGAGCAGAGGCCGGGAGGTTTCTACTGTGCAGACAACAACAGCAACGGTGGTTGATGGTGGTGGGGTCGAGGGAGTCCGGTGGCTGGGACCTTGAGTGCGGCAGCGACTACATGCTGGAGAGGGCTTGGTTGCAGGGGACTATGTCAAGTATATGGTAGGTTGGACTGTTGGGAGGGGGACGGGAGGAACTTGCTGGGCGATAGAAGACAGAAGAACCAGGTGTGGTTGTTCGTGATGCCGGCTTCATACCGCGTGTTATCGACACAGATGGACATGGACATGTCACAGGAATGGTGCTAAAGTCGGAGTAGGCGGCGCTGCACCGAAAAACAACAAATCAACATTGATGTTCATTATCGCATAGCACATGCGACGATGATGGCGGGACCGACAATCCTGAGTTGCCACAGGTGGGGGAGGGGGGGGGGGGTACTCATAGTCGTGCATGCCGTAGTCGTTAGACCATTGACCTCGCATCCCTACAAAGCCGGGACGGAGCACGCCGGGTTCTCACCGGACCAGGCTCTCACATCACCAAGCGCGAAGCGCCGTGAGATATTCGGCGAGTCGCATGAAGGGTGAGCTGCATCCTGCTAAGGGTTTTTGCCATAGGTGGAGCGCAGCAAATCAACATTTTTTTTGTTCTTGATCTTGTGGCACATGCGACAATGGCGGGACGGACAAATCTTTCTTTTCTTCCCCCAGGTGGAGCGGCTCGGACGGGACCTGCTGAAGGAGTCTAGCGCCGCGGAGCAAGCGGGCCTGGACCTGGAGGTGCTGACGGAGGAGTTGGAGCTGGAGAGGCGGAAGAACCGAGATCTGCCACACGAGATTCGCCTGGCGGAGGCCCACAAGACCGAGGCGCTAGAGGCTAAGGCAAGCGCATTATTCGTCGTGTGGTGCTTAACTGATGACACAGATTTTTTCTAAATTCATGACACAACAAGTTCGGCGCTTCTACAAGTCTGGGATACCACCCAAGTCTCTGAAGTCGTGGTGCTTAACCATGTGCAATTTTTTTGCTTTTCGTAAATTATGATTTCAGTAAAGTCGTCTCTTCTACAGATATAACAGTTTGGGATACCACCAGTTTTATCGAAGTTTATCCTGTTCAAATACTGTATGACCTTGTGTGACCTCCGACTGGTGCGTCCGGGATTGAAGCGAAATATGCACAAGGGACCGACGTCCAGAACCAATGGGATGGCAATGAGAAGATCAAGACTGGAACGCTTTTTTAGCGTCTCTATTTTCTGCCTGATATTTGCGATTGCTTGTCACGTACGTACAGGTGAAGGCTCTGACATCGGAGGTGGAGACTGAGAAGCAGCGGTACTCCGAGCTGGAAGAGAGGAAGGGCCACCTGGAGGAACAGCTGCAGGAAGTGGAGGACTGGAAGAACAAGTGCGACTCCTGTACAAGTGCTAATAAAGATGATTTCGTTTGAGTTACGGCTGCGTATCGTACAAGCGCTAATGAAATGGTCCCGTTACAAGCATGTGTTATACAATTGCTGATAGAGTGGTTCCATTGGGGTTATGAACGGAGTGGAAAGGAAGGGTTTCGTTTTTTTTTGCAGGTCCGTCGTGGTGCTGTCGCGGGTAGTAGACAGCAGAAATATCATTGTATCACAGGTAAAAGTAGTCTGGTACGCATAGTACCCCCGAATGCGCTCCGTTCATCTCTCGTGGCTCGTGGGTTGTCGAATCATCATCCCCAACGGAGCCCACAGGTTCTTGTGGAACGCGTTGCTATCGAGTCGTACGGGGGGTGCACATGCTTGTGTCCTTTTTCGATGGCGGCCGACCGATGACCAAACTTGAGCCCACCTGGACAACGAAAACGAATACGAAAAAATACCATTAAGGACACCCCCCCGGAAAAGGACTCGTTGTTTTTCACAGGCATGGTGTCCCGCAAGATGTACAACGTAAGGGGGGTATCAATTCAGGACACTTCCTCGGCTTTAGGACACCTGTTTTCCCGAATATATTGATCGTGTGTGTCCTTAACCGACGGACGGCTCTATGTGTGGGGGTGTTGGCGAAGGTACGAGGAAGGACACGGGCTCGTCGACGCCGTTCAGTTCCAGAAAAAGCTCAAGAACGATCTCCACCGCTTGGAGACTGAGCTGGAACGGCGGAGCTTGAAGGTGAACAGTAGAGCCGAAAGTCACACACATTTTCGTTACTCCCAAGACAAAGCCAAAGCCAAAGAGTCTTGGTAGCCTGTCTAGCATCTGCTTTTTACACGCATTGTTGGTTCCGGTTTCCGTGCGTAAGGAGTTTTTTTACATGGAACGTTCCACACGTGTTTCTCGATGCCCATTTTCCCGTTGCTTCTCTGGACATGTGCTACGTTTTAGCTGAAGAATGAGTCTTTGTCGTAGTTCCGACGGAAGTGTGGTGATGGTGCTGCTGCTGCTGCTGCTGCTGCTGCTGCTGTTGCTCTTATTATTGCTGCTGCTGCTGCTGCTGCTGTTGTTACTGTTGATGTTGCTACTTTTGTGGGTCACGGCCAACTTCTCAAATCCCCGCCTCACCGTGCCCAGATGGGAGAGGTCATGGACGCCAACGCGGTGTTGACCATGACCTGTCAAAGGCTAAAGGAAGAGGCAGGAAAGCCGGAAGACTTCTCCTACGGAGATCTGGCAGCGGTCAAGAAGGCACAGGCCGGGGAGGTGGGAGGTGGTAGACATCCACGAGGAACCGCTGTCATCTTGGATGTTGTAGAGTGTGGGATAGACGTATGGTATCATGGGCTTGTGGTTGTCGTTGTTGTGCTTTGTTGTTGCTGTTGCTGTTGCGGTGATTACAGCAGTCGCTTCTCCTGGCATAGTATTTCTCGCGCGCGGACGAACAAATCGCCGATCGGACGGGGGAGGTGCGGGGACGAAACACTGCTGAACACGTTTGTGGCCGCGGTAGTGGTGTCCCAGCAAGCAAGGGCATCACGGCGCGAAACGCGGTGGTATCAGTGGCAGGAGGGAAAGGACTACAACAGGAGACATGGTCGTGAATAGGGGGCCTTTCCTGGTGCGTGC